TTTCCCTATTTAGATGCCTGGGAATCTTTGGCCAAAACCGATTGACTATAAATGTGTGGGATGAATTGTAATTACCTATTCTACTTGATTCTATTTGTCTATGTTTACAGAAATATTTTGTTGAGTATTAAACCCAGGTAATAAATCTTGGAGTCAGATAGCATAAAGCTCTCCAAACTTGTTCTTTTTCAAAGCTTGTTGACTATTCTTGGTTCTTTGTATTTCTATTTTTTTTTTAAATTGTCCATTTCTGTAACAAAATCTTCTAGGATTTTCATGGGAATTGCATTGAGTGAATTTGCAGGGAATTGACATCTTAGCAATAGTGAGTTGTTCAACCATGAGAGTACAATATTTCCCCACATGTCTTAGTTTATCTTGGGTGTGCATTAAAGTTTTTAGTGTACAGAACTTGTATATTCTCTGGCAAATGTATCCCTACATCTTTCATGTTTTATATTATGTTTATAACTATCATTTCTATAACTTTATTCCTATAATTTTAATTTAAAATTTTTCTTTACTATTACTATAACAAAATACAATAATTTTATAAATTGAGCCAATATTCTGAAAATTTTTAATACTCATTTATTAATTTTGAATTTTTATAGGTTTTTTGTAGGTTTTTCTACATAGCTGAATACCTCTTATTTATTTTTTGAGGAAGATTTTTGCTATAGGACATGTGTGCTTGCCAGAGTGACAGAGATAGAGAGACAGAAAGTGAGAAATCACTCTCTAGGGGGATGGCCATGCTACAATCCCTACTCCTCCATTCTCCTCTCAGGATTTTGGGCATGCACACACACATGCCTGGCATGAGTCTCAACCAACCGGGTCTGGGACTTGAACCACAGTCGGCATATGGCAGTCTAGCAACGTAACTATTACCCATCTGCTGGTCCCACCTCTTATTTATTTTTAAGCTGAATGTACAGGCTAGACTCTCCAGTAAAAGTTGAGTTGAAATAATGAGCATGTACCGTATTGCTTTGTTCTTAACCTTGGAAGCATAGAAGTCAGCTTTTCACCATTACATGTGATATTAGGGGGCTGACAGTGGAGTAGTACTGATAAGTGATACTTTATGAAGTTGACTCACATGGGACGGTTTTGGATTCTTGTCTGGAAACCTCCCTCGGTAACTAGGCACCATAGGCCCATGACCCGGGGCTGGCTGTGGTTGGGTGGGGGAAGATCATGACTAGGAACCCTGTTGAGGGTTCTCTCTCTCCCTCTTACTTATGAAATAAAGGAAGAAATAAACTTATAAAGGAAAAAAGAGTATGATGTCAACTGTTTATTTTTTCATAAATGCCCTTTATGGATATTTGAAAGAAGTCATCCGACTTTTACTGAACATACATATGTGACATCATTATTTAAAGGCAATAGATAAGGTATAGAAAGAGAAACTGAATGTAGGCAAGCATCAGGTTCCAACAGGCATTCCAGTAAAGAGTCCCCCAGGGCCACTGTTCGTCTCATGTACCACATGTGTACCACCAGTATCTCTAATCTGGCCAGACTTGCCAAATGTTTAGGCCAATTGCAGACATCATAAATTAAGTTTGAGGATCACTAAGAACGTTTTGGACCTTAAACATCCTGTCATGCTCTCCATACCCTGTATCTTGTCCAACAGTCACAAACCAGTTGTTCCCAGAAATAAGAACTTTTCCAGTCAATCCTTACAATTTGATAAAGTTCAATTCCATCCTTTTCTTTACCTCAGAGTTTTATCAGAAATGAACGATCTCTTTTATCAAACACATTTTCTCCACATTACCTTTTTCAGCTATTAACTAGAAGATTACATTACTTGACTTTTTAAAATGAATATTTTAACTTAATTTTTATTTTTTTAGGTGTATACCATAGGGAATGCGCACTTGCCAGAAAAAGACAGAAAGTGATAGTAGGAGAGAGAAAAAGAGAGAGAGAGAGAGAGAGAGAGAAAATGAGAAGCCACTTCCCAGGGATGGCCATGCTAGAGTTCATTCTCCTCCATTCCATTCTTGGATATTTCATGTGGGGACATACAGAGTTTGTCTTTCATACTCTGGCTTGCTTCACTTCATAGTAATTCTTCCATATCTGTCCACTTAGTATCAAATGGCAGGATCTCATTGCTTTTTATGCTTGAGTGGGATTCCATAGAGTACATACACCACATTTTTTCAATCCACTAATCTATTTTTGTACATATGGATTAACTTCATGTCCTAGCAATTGTAAATGTTGCTGCAATAAACATGTATGTGTTCTTCTGACTGAGGGTTTCAAAACCCATACTGTTTTCCAAAATAACTATACTAATTTCCATTTCCACATTTCCACTAACAGTGAAAAAGAGTGCTTTTATTTTTAATACAGATTTTTGGTATAGGATGCATGTGCTTACCAGAGAGACAGAGAGACAGAGAGCAAGAAATCACCACCCAGGTGGAGAAGGCCATGCCACAATCCCTTCTCCTCCATTCTCCTCTCAGGATCTTGGGCATGAATGGACACGTGCCTGGCGTGAGTTTTAAGTTCTCGGATGCGGGACTTGAGCTGCAATGTGCCACGTGAGAATCCGACGACATAACCTTTACACCATCTACTGGTCCCAACAGTGCATTTTTCAAATCTCATATCAAGCAGGTATCCTTGAAATAAAATGCCATTGCTTATGAAGTTGGATTTAATTGCCTAAGTCTTGGTTCAGAATTTTTGCATGCATGTTCATGGTGGGTATACATAGTTTCTCTTTTTTTTTCTTTCCTTTTCTTTTCTTTTGGTTTTAGTTTCAAGATCATAATGGATACTGGTCTTATAGAATTGGAGTGTGTTACTCCCTCTTCAATTTTCTATAATTTAGCTAGTATCGGTATTATTATTTCCTTGAATGTTTGGTAGAATTTTCCAATCATCTGTCTGATCCCAGATTATTCTATATGAGGACGTTTTAACTACAAATTAAACTTTTAAATAGAGTTCAGGCTATTTAAATGACATATTTCCTTTTAAGTTAAGTGGTTTTTTTTGTGTCTTTCAAGGATTTTTTTTTATTTCATTGAAATTGTTAATTCTACTGGCATAAAACTTATCATGTCCATTTAGTAATCTCTTAAATGTGTGTAAAGCTTATAAATATGTCACCTCTGTAATATTTTGTTATGCTGAAGCTTTTTAGCTTGATGGAGTCCCACTTATCTATTTTCAGGATTAGTGCCTGTGCTCTGACTGTCCTATGTAAGAACTCTTTGCCTACTCTGTCTTCAAGCGTTTTCCCTGTTTTCTACCAGTAGTTTTATAGTTTGAGGATTTACATTTAGATCTTTGATCCATTTTGAGCTGATTTTTGTTAATGGTGAGAGATAATGGTCCAGTTTTATTCTTTAGCAGGTGGATGCCCACTTTTTCCAGCACCAATTGCTGAAGAGATTTTTTGCTCCCCAAAGGGTTGTCTGGTGCCCTTTCTTGAAAATCAATTGAATGTATGTTTTGAGGTTTATTTCTTTGTTCTCTATTTTGTTTTATTCATCTACATGCCTATTTTGTCACAACTACCATGCTGCTTCAATAATCACAGCGTTGTAATATATACTGGGGTCAGGAAGTGGGATACCTCCTACTTTATTTTTGCATAGCATTGCTGTGGTGATACAGGGACTTTTATAATCTAGACAAATTTTATGGTTTATTTTTTCTCTTTCTGTGATGAATAGCTCTGGCAATTTGGTCAGAACTGCACTGAATTTGTAAATTAATTTGGATAGTATCAATATTTGAATTCATGCAATCAAAGAACATAGGATGCATTTCCATCTTTGAGTGTCATTTTCAATTTTTAAAAAATTTTTTTCATAGTTTTTCTTGTAGAAATCTCTTATTTCTTTGGCTAGGTTTATTTCTAAGTATCTCATAGTTTCTGTGGCTATTGTAAATGGGATTCCCTTCTTCAGTTCTACCTCAGTCTGTTCAGCGTTGGTGTATAAAAAATGTAGGGTTTTCTTTGTAGATTTTAAATCCAGTCACTTCACTATAGTCATTTATCACTTCCAGGAGGTTTTTTACGTGTGCATGTGTGTATTCTTTTGGATTTTTTTCATGTATATAATTTCTACCAACAAATAGAAATCTTTTCTTTCATTTTTCCTATTTAAAGGCATTTTATTTTATTTTCTAATTGCAGCAGCAAGAACTTTCAGCACTATGTTGAAATACAGTGGAGAAAATGAGCTGCCTTGTCTTGTTCCAGGTTGAAATTTTTTTCTTTTAGCATTTTGAATATGTCTTTTTATTCTTTCCTTGCTAGCATTGTTTCAGTTGAAGGGTGTGATGTTAGCCTAATAGAACAACTTTTATAAATAACTTGACATTTCTCTCTGGTCATTTTATAATGATTGTCTTTGTCTTTGATGTTTACCGATTTGACTATGGTGTGCTGTGCAGAATATTTTTTTATGTTGATTCTATTTGGTGTTCTTTGTATTTCCAGAATCTGGGTGTCTGACTGTTTCTCTCAGTTTGGAAATTTTCAGTAAGTATTTCATGGAATGGGTATTCTATGCCTTTATCAGAGTCTTACAATTCATACTTATTCAGATACTTAGATGTTTAAGGATGTCTAGTATTTCCCATATACTGTCCTCATTTTTCTTGGTTACTTTTTCATTCTTTCTGCTGGTTTTGACTAAGTTATAGGCTATGTCTTTTAGGTCAGAGCTTCTGTCTTCTGCATTATCTAATCTGCTGTTAATACTTTCAAGGGAGGTTTTGTTTCTCTCTATTGTGATCTTCATCTCCAGAAATTCTGATTGAACTTTCTTAGAGTATCTATCTCTTTATGGAATTATCCCTTCAAGTTGTAAAATAAATATTTGGAATTATTTTTCTGCCATTTCTGTGATTTCTGGTGTTTTATTCATTGTTAATGATGAGTTACTCTGTTCCATTGGAAGAGAGAGATTTCCAAGTTTTCTCATATTTCTTGGGATAATGCTTTGATTTTTAGGCCTGTGATGAGGTATATACTTCTTCCCCTTTTAAAAATTCTTTTTGTCTCAGTAGGTTTTTGTCATTGTTTCCTGCAGTGTGTGTTGGCTTCCTGCCAATTTCTCTATTTTTCTGTGGGAGGGAGTGTTAGAATGCACATTAGGAGTTTGGGGTTTGGCTTTAAGGAGGAGAGATTCTCTCCTTTGACTCACCCAGAAGAGGAAGATGAGAAATAGTTTCTCTAGAGTCTCACTCTCTTAAGTTAGATGTACCGTCTGTCAACCTTTCTTTTCCTGAAGCCGTAGGGCTGAGTAGTGTAGGTTTAATACAGGGAGAAAGAAGAAGTCACATACCACACGGTGGCTTACAATAAAAAGTCACATACCATGCAGTGACTTGCAAGCAACTTTTCCCTGTGTCCATCTGTGAGATAGCAGAGGGGCAGTGCCAATCCAGGAACTGTCCTCTAGCCAAGTCTGATTACTCCTCCCAGTGAGTGGAATGCTGGGGCACACAGAATTCTGGGGGTGAGACCTTCCATGAGCACCTGTGAGAGAGCGGAGAGGTGGCACTTATACAAGGATGAACCTCCAGCCTGATCTGATCTCTCCTCCATTTTGGACTTCTTTGGGATACTTTGGTAATTTTATGATACTCCTTTATATCTTTTTTTTTAGTTATTAACTGTGATTCTTTGATTGCTGATAAGTAAGGACATGAAAAAATGCTTAATCTCATGAATTATTTTAAAAATTCAAATTAACACTGTAATGAGAGATCACTATATAGTTGCTAGAACAAACAACCTAAAATGTCAGATAATAATAGATATTGGTGAGACAATCACACAATGGAAACTCTACTATGAGTGGGAATGTCAGAAATATACAACCACTTAAAAAAATTCCATTTGAAAGTTTCTCAGAAAGCTTAACATATACGTACTTTATGATCCAGAAAGCAGATGTTCATATAAGAGTGTACACAAATGTTCACAATAACTTTATTTATAAAAGTACTTAGGAAACAACTGAAGAGTTTATCTAAATAGGAATGAATAATTACATCGTAGAATATTCCTATAATGGAATTCTCTGTAAGATAAATAAATATCAAAATAATTATGCCGCTGGGCCTAGCTGATGGCATAATGTTTACGTTGCTTGACTATCACATGGCCAACCACATTTCAAGCCCCAGACCCGATGACTTGAAACTAACATCAACACACGTGTGTACATGCCTCAAATACCAAGAAGAGAGTGGACAAGAGGGAATTGCAGAGTGGTCATCTACCCTAGGGGGTGATTCTCACGTTCTGTCTCTCTGGCCAACACACACACCCTATAGTGAAGATCTCTTTTAAAAATGATAATAATTAGGCTGAATGTAAGATGCCAGACAGAAAAAGAGCTCCTAGGGAATGATTCAATTTATATAAAATTTTAGAAAATGCAAACCAATTTAGAGTGACATAAAGTTGAGTAGTTGTTGCCTGGAGATGGAATATGATGAAGAATGCTGAGAGACTAACACAAACGCAGATAAGAAAACATTCGGTATTGATGGCTGAGTTTCTATCATGAGTGTAATGATGGATTCTGATAGAAAACTAAGCACTTAATATTATATGTCAACGACAGCTCATGAAGTTGTTTTAAAAGTCCGTATGATGTATTTTAAAACAAAGTCAAGTAGAAGATAGAGGAAATATATATCCTAGGAGTTCGAAGAATTTGCAGATAACTGAGGATCAGGGCAGTTAGGAAAGTTGTTTTAGAAGATATGAGACTTAAGCTGTGTCTTGAAGTTAATAGGTATGTTCATGAACAGAATTATAGTTCAAAAATGAGCCTTGTTTTTGGATGGCACCAAATGTCAGCAGAGTCCTATAACTTTACACACACACAAAAATATGCCTTTATATGGTACATTGACAAAATAATCAGCTCTACCGAAGTAATAATTAATATGGTTTATTGCTAAGCATGAGATGAAGGGACCTGACCTGGAGAAAGACAAGTGTGTTTCTCAGTGTGCTGAGATACAGTGGTTCCTTTTATATAGTTCTGAGAGCTGGAGAGCTGTCAGTCAGCATAAAGAGTCCTTTATATTTGCCTGGCCCAAAAAGGTGGGGCATCTGGAAGCAGAGGATTGTAGCTTACAAGTGAGTTTGAAATTCTAAGATCAGTAATTGGTTAAAGAATAGCACAAGTCTCTGTTTCTAAAAGAAATCAGCAAAAGAATATGCTTTACTCTAAGAGATAGGAAGACTTACCATGCCTCATCAAAACACTATGCTAGGGACAGGATATAGCGTCCTACTATCAATGTACCAAATCAGCCTGTTAATGTCCATTGGCTTCTGGTAATGTTTATAGACAAGGCTCTCCCACACTCCCTGGAAACAACTTTGGAATAGGAAAAAATTCTGTCCTCAGGTCCAAGCAGAAAACTATTACATTTCATTTCTCTTCTGCCAGTGCAAAACTTTTTTTTTTTATGAGGATAGTTATTTCCTGTTCCTTGGTGACATCTAAGACATCTTCTTGACATTGCCTGATTTTATGTCAGGATTTAAACCATACAGATCCATGTAATTGCCAAAACTCCCAATTTCATTTAAAATCGATAGTCTCTCTCTATTTCTCCTTTGCTACATCTATTTAGATATGGAATCTACAGTGAAAAAAAATGAATCTATTTTGCCAATCATTGCTTCTTTTTTATTCCTGTACCCACTCAACAACATGTTAATTTGAGTTTCTATGTTTTCCAAGGTAAGAAAAGTCAAAAGAAAAGAGTAGTGGGAGAAAAATGGTTTTACTTTTCTAGTGTTTTGTGATCTTGCTTTAATAATTGATGAAATTTGACTCTTTTTTTCAGGGAATGTTCTACTACATTTCTCACTACTAAGGTAATATATCCTTTTGTATTCCTCCAAACCAACCCAAGACTTCTCTCTCAGTTTTGCATTTTATTCCTGAGGCCAGCAGGCAGAGTAGTGGTTTTAGTGTGAGACTTCCATGTGGCTGACCGCTGTTCAAGTCCCAGACCCTGTGGTTTGAAAATCACATGGACATGTGTGCTGTGTGTCAAAATCCCAAGAGGGGAATGGAGGAGAAGGAATGCAGTGTGGAAATCCCACCCCCCCAGAGGTGATTTCTCACTTTCCCTCTCACTGTCTCTCTGTCTCTTTCTCTCTCTCTTCCTAGTGAGTGCATGAGCCCTGTATCAAAAACCTAAAAAGGAAAAAAGAAAAAAGTTTACCCCTTTAGCTGAAATCATATCAAACTCAGAGATAGACATCTTTGTCACAATTCAGACTCATTCCTAGACAGCTCTTTGTTTGGCACAATTCCAGATCACAGAAAACCATATATTGCCATGAAATGTGTAACGGCCCCTCACATCTTTATTCTTATTTCTCTTTCAGAGATTCCTCTGGTACCTGTATACTCTTCTCTTGACCCCGGGCTATGTGACACACACGTCAAGATCTCCAAATGGTTAGATTGAATCCGTCTTATTTGACTTCAGTGAAGGAGAAAGTACCTTCCATGCTTGTCTGCATCGTTGAGAGCAGAGAAGGAACAAGTGCTATAACCATTCAGCAACTCTATCAAAACAAAATTACTTTTCTTAGCATCTTTAACCCCAAAATGTCATGCTGTAAAGAATATTTAATTAGGGTTCAAAACACTATTTTTGTTTTTGTTTCCTAGCTATTTTCTTCACTAGTCTTACGTAGGCAGTATATCACCTCAGTGTGGAATGTGGAAGTACTTACTTTCTATTGTTTTCTTCTTGGAATTTGAGGTCTTGGCCAAAACTGAAAAGAAAGGTTTTCATTTTAACATCCTGTTACAAGAATATAAACTGCCAAGGATGGAATGTAATTGGATTTGACTATCAAACTCTGTGGTTCTCAAAATACAGGATTACAAGAGGCATCTCTTTTGAGCATCTTGAAAGAATGTGTGATTACTGTTAGGATATTTAATTTTTTTTTTGCATTTATTCTAGATTATTTGCAAACATGGTATTTTAGGTTTGGCTTGGATAACAAACAATATCATAAATAACTCTAAAACTGTCAGAATGTTGGAAGGCGATCTCCTTAATATACTACATTTCCATTAATGCTATCAAAATAAAAATTATACTCTAAAAATCAGCTCTTTCTTATAATATCTCAAATGTATCAAAATTGACATTGAAATCATGACTTACTGCTTACAATTAGTGATTATTTTGGGCATAGGGCAATATGACCAAATGCCAAATAGTTTTGATATGACTTAAATTTATGAGTTTAATATTAAAAAACTCATAATACATTAAAAGAATAAAAGCTTTAAAACATTTTATAAAGCTGGGAAAAATGTGTAAAAATTTGCTAGGAGGGACTATCAAAGAAAAAAATCCAAATAAGAAAGGAAATTGATGTTATTAAGGCTACTGCAACAGGGAGACCACTCAAGATGCGAAACTCAGTGTCCCAGTAGAGTAATTTTGTTTTGGCATTTATAATCTAAATAAATTGGGTGACTCTGCAACTAGGATTGTATTTACAATTTGGGGTGATCAGTCAGTCAGCTGAATAAAAAATATGTGTGTCTCTGTCTAATTAGTATTAGGGGAAAAACATTTTAGTTAATCATTGCTGAGCCAAAGTGTGAAAATTTGGAGATTGTGTGTCTGGTTTTGCTATAAATGAAGAGGTCATGGGTGAGTCTTAAGAGAGTCACAAGAAATAGTGGACACACCAAATCTTATGTATGTTTTACAGGAAAGAGTGGTTCATTGCAATTAGCCATTTCCTAAACCAAGAAGATAGAGATTCTAAAAAGCAAAAGGGTGGTAGATCTTTCTTAACCACCACTGTTTTCAGGGAGCAGCGTGCTCAGGTAATGTCCAGTGTGGTCGGGGTTACCTCTATAAAGGTATTGGAAAGTTAAGTAGGCTAACCTTACACACACACACACACACACACACACACACACATATACACACATGAATATGTATATGCTAATTATACCTACACCAAAGAAGACCATATATGGGGTCTTACCTAAGAAACAACAAGAAAGGTGATCCCCAGAGGGAGTGGAGACTCTCTTGAATCAGCCTGTATTTTGATTGTGAATGTGCAACTATCCTACGGTACACTCTTTTGCTTTCTCTATTTGTGATTCATCCTTAAATTATTTCCTGCACAAAGCCAGGAACCCTTTACTCAGGGGAAGGGGGAGTCCCTGAGCCCCACCCAGATGACAGACTCATCCTTATAACAAGAAAAAAATCTGAACAAAGTTAATAACTCTACTTAGGTCCATCAAAGAACTGAAGTCACAGGAAAACTAGTGTCCTGAAAACTGAAGAGATAGAGGAATGCAATGCATCACAGTTTACCCAGAAGGGAAGCAGCCCAGGAGACAGTCACCAGCAGCAACAAGTACAGGGAAACTGACTAATAGTTGGAGATTGTGGACTTGGGAAGTAAAAATTGCTAGGGTACAGCCTTCAGAAGCTGCCATACACCCTGGAAATTCTAGAGTTTTACCTCCAGAAGCCAACTAGTTTTTATGGTGAAGATCAGAAGACATCCTATCATGCTTCTAGCAGGAGAAAAGGAAAAGTAACCATTTTGATATACACCAATGGCTTTCTGCTTTCCCTAACAAAAGCCTGTGCTCAGGGAAAACTATTTTACCAGAGCTTAAACAACTTGTGTTTTTCCAGAGACTGAAGAACCTTGTGGAAAGGAAATGCCTAGCTCCAGTCCCTTCTAGCCTTCCTGTCTTACCTAAGGAGGGGGAAGGGACGCTGAAAAACACTAGTGAAAGTCAAAGGCCAAGGACACAGGTTTACTAAAATATTACTCATAGGATTATAGAATGTTTCCCCCCCACACACATTTCCAGTTAGACTGCTGCATCACAACAGGGAACTACAGCTGAAAAAAGGGGCAAAGTCCAGATCCTATGTAAGAGGGAGTCTAAAAAGAAATCTGGAGACCAAAGGGACACACAAATCAAAGACACTAGAGGAAACGGTAGCCTCTGACACCTATGGATACAGCAAAGAGTAAACACAATGCAACCCCTACCCAAAAAATAGAAAGCCTCACACAAATGTCCTATTTACTTCAGTTTCTTGTATTCTGTACATCATTTTCCAGTTTTCAATAAAAATAAGACATGGGGACCAGCAGTCGGCATAATGGCTATGTCGTGGGACTCCCATGTAGTCGACCACAGTTCGAGTCCCAGACCTGGTGGTTTAACTCACGTTGGGCACATGTGCGTACATGCCCAAGATCCCGAGAGGAGACTGGAGGAGAAGGGATTGTGGCACGGCCATCCCCCCTGGGTAGTGATTTCTTGCTTTCTGTCTCTCTGCCTTTTTCTGGCTAATGCATGCACCCTATAGCAAAAACCTCTCCTAAAAGAAAAAGAAAAACTTATAAGGTATGCTAAAAGGGAAAAAAATACTGTCTGAAGAGGCAAAGTAAGCATCAAAAATTATTAGAGATTGCAAAGATTTGGGAATTTTCAGATTAAAATATAAATATGATTAGTATGCTACAAATGGAAAAAGTGGATAACATGCAAGAAAGATGGGTAATATAGGTTTGACATAAATTCTAAAAAGTAATCAAAAGGAAATGCTAAAAATCAAAAACACTGTAATAGAAATAAGGAATTCCTGTGATTGCCTGATTAGCAGAGTGACTAGAGCCGAGGAAAGAAGCAGAGAGCCTTAAGATACATCAATAAAAACTTTCCCCAAAGCGAAAACCAAAGAGAAAAGAAATAAAAATAAATAAATATAAAGGAAACTGATATATCGATGAACTATTGGACCATTACAAAAAATATGATGCACATGTAGTGGGAATACTATAAGGAGAAGAAAGAAAGAAAGAAAGAAAAGAACAGGATAAAATATTTGAGGTAATAATACCTGTAAATTTTACATTTTCTGTAAATGACAGACACCAAAATACAGAACCAAGAATCTCAAAGAAAACCAAGTAAGGTAAATAAAAATAATTTTTACTTAGATACATAACATCAAATCTGCAGAAAATAAAAAACAAAGAGAAAAATCTTAAAAGAAGACAAAGGTGGGAACCAGCAGTTAGCGTAATGGCTATGTCGCTGGACTCCCATGTAGTCAACCACAGTTCGCGTCCCGGACCCGGTGGCTTAAAACTCACGCCGGGCGCGTGTGCGTGCATGCGTGCCCAAGATCCCAAGAGGAGAATGGAGGAGAAGGGATTGCGGAGTGACCATCGCCCCTGGGGGGTGATTTCTTGCTTTCTGTCTCTCTGTCTCTGTCTGTCTGGCGAGCGTACGCACCCTATAGTGAAAACCTCTCAAAAAAAAAAAAAAGAAATTTCCCCCAAAGCCAAAAAGCCACATCATACCATTCAAA